CTGTCTGAGTAGTTCTGCCCCCTGCTGCCTCAGAATTCTAGCAGCAGGCTGGCAGGTTCTTTGGGTAAATCTGATATCTTCTGTTAGACCAACTAAAATAGCTGGAAAAATTCTTCTTTGCAAGCTTTTAGGCACAAACATCTTTCCTCATGCTCCAGCATACAAGCTGTTTTAACTGGTACAAAATGACATATGATCTAAAGGCGACAAATGAGGCTGCATTTAAGTGTGTACATGTTTTACAGATAAACGGAAGAGCTTGGGTGCAGCTGGCAGAGTGAACACTCATCATGGATCTCTGCACGTTACAGACCTTTTCATAGAGACCACTGTACCCAAACAGGGACAAAACTTATGGTAATATGCTTTCACATGATTTTTTTCTTCTCTGTTTATAGCCAGGGAACTTGAGATCAGGAAACTGGCTGAGTATGTAGTTTGATCTCAGAAATGGGGTGTCTTGACTTTATGAAAAAGATTTGGGGTTTCTAATCTTCCTTGGCTATTTTATAAAGGCTAATATCTAGTATGGCCTGCCTTCACTGCCAAAGAGAAGACTGAAGTGTAGGAAGTCAAGTAGAAATATCTTTAAGGAACAGATTATTCTACTTTGTCACATACCTGAGCATGTTCTGCTTCTGTAGTAAGATGCAACATAATAGGAATGTTTGGCATTATTTTGTTTATGATGCTTCCTATTTTAACTTCTGATGGTACCTCCTGTAGCCTGACTCTCTTATTCTTTCCGCTGTCCCATTTAATAGGTGAATTAGGGCATGAGCAGATGAACAAATTTATACTAAATCTAAGAAGTAGTGATTTACTGTGTCAGCTGCTCCGTGGTACCTGGTTTATGGTTCTACTCCTGTCCTGCGGTACTTAGAAGCTAAACCACGGTAACTTAGCCGTGTTTCATTTTTCATTCAGGGATAAGCTGCCCCAGTTTTAGCTTTCACTTACCATGGGACAGGAGCAGACACAGTTCCTGAGCATCACTGAGCCACAGTAAGTCTCTTCCCACTTCCCTCCTTTTTAAACTCAATGCAATTTGTTCATCTGTTCATATCCTTAATTTTAGTAGCATCCCACCCCTGTACCTTTTGAAGCGTGATGTATACTACCATTAATCATGGGTAATAAGGCAGCTGATCCAAGAAGCAGTAAAACTGATTTGCTAGTGGTATTGCATCAGACTTGGCCTGAATGGATTGACTTTAGATATTGGTTATTTAAGTCATCGGTGAGAGTTTTGATTTAATAGATTATTTCAACCTTTTACTTCAGAAAGCAATGTTGATGCTCATTCTTTGGAACAAGAGCCAAAGCACTTTTTTTAATGCATTAAAAATGTACGCTGCACTACCAATCTGGCTAATTCTTTTCTGAGCAGAGAGCTGGTTAACAGATTAGTTTTTCCTTTGAGTCATTGTTTGCATGTATTTCATTTGTAGCGCATGTGAACCACATGCACATGAGAGTAGAACCTTTTAACCAGTAGTGTGTCTTTGGGTCCAGCCTGTATCCTGCCTTGTGTCCTTCCTTCTCATATGAAAGCACAGACACTAGGCCACAACTGCCTCTCAATTCGTTCTTGCTGCCCCTGCCTATCCAAGAGAACTCTTTGCTGTCTGACTGATTCAGTGAAGAGGTGCTACAGGCCGGCAATTTTTAAAATAATAACAAGTTATTTCAAGGAAGTGTTTCTATTTGGTTGACAACCCTTTTTGTTTTATTTAAACATTTTCTTATGTGACTATAGCACTAATGTGCCTTCTTGCCACATGGATGAACCTTAGACCTTTTGGCTTTGAGCCATGCCTATTGTGTGGCAGACTTGTTCCATTAAGTAATGGGCAGCGGTCAGAGGGAGATTAAGGTCTACTGGGGCCCTGGGCAAGCACAAAATTGGAGGCCCTCTCCCTCCATGTGAGCTGAACTGCGGGGAGAGGGGCCCTTTCCCCTCCTAGTGCTGGCGGGGGAGGCTGGGTGGATCTTGCCGGGCTGGGGGGCACATGTCTGCCTCTTCTGCTTGCTCCTCACCCCTGCTGCGGCCACACACA